TGTGCCGTCGAGTTGCTTGCGACTCATAGCGACCCTATGGACAACAGCCCTAAACTCTGCTCTGTCCTGTGCCAATCTCACTGTCTCCAACACACCCATCCTGATATATATATATATAGTAACATTGCATATTTTCCTGCTATGATATATATATATAATTAGGAGTTTTGGTGGCATAATGTGTTATAAATTGCACTGCTAACCCAAAGATCAGTGGATTAAATCCGTAAACTGCTTTCTGAAAGCAAGAATGAGAATCTCCTCCTATAAAGGTTTACAGTCTATGAAATCCAATGGAAGCTTGCTATGAGTCCATATGGACTTACAGTAGTGGATCTTTTTACAATATGTAAATAATACACATGTAAATGTATAGATTATATATTAGGGAAAACAGATTTAATCTGTCACATGTGTATTGTCTTCCAGAAAAGTACTTTTTCATAAACTGTTTTTAAATTTGGTTTTCTATAAATCTTATTGTTTAATAGGTATATGCTACTAAGTAGTCCATCTTTTAAGAAATATGGTAACATTCATGAAAACATCGCTGGGAGATCCGAAGAATTATTTCTAATGAACTAAAGCTTACAACCTGGCACCAAAATGGTTTTTTCCCCTCAAAATGATAAATGTTAGAAAAATTTCTGAAATGACTTCCATGCCTCTTTGACTTTTAAATACATCATACTCTAGATGATTAAAGTCATCCTTGGTAATTCAGGATGATCTTTACAGGGTCATTTTGCAAAATCCCAATTTCTCTTTCCAAAGTCTGTCAAGGTCCCTTGACCTCTGTGAACCTGCCCTTCAGTCTCAAAGCTGACATCAGCTTCCTCTTGCTTTCTCATGCTTCATAACCAATTTGTCTTCCCTCTAGACTCATTTTCTGAAAAAGTAGCGAGTCCCTTGTACTTCAGTCTTCATTCTACATATTTTTATTAAGCCTCTCAAAAACAGGGCAAAAAAAGCCAAGACAAAATCAAATGCTCAATGTCAAGCTGGAACGGGGTAGCAGTGCCACTTCTTAAAGACTATGCAACCAGAGCTCCCTAATGAAGCCCCTAAAGTCAGTTAACCCTGTGTTGGAGCCTTAGCACTTGAGCACCCACTCAGAGAAGCTCATGTGCAGGGAGCTTACGGCTGAGGGGAAAGGGGGGAATGCTCAGAGCTGTGGGATGCACCATACTGCTGCTCCCTCACAGCCATGCCATTTAATTTCCTGAAGGTTTGGTTTTATTCTCAGGCTGTAAGCCTGTCACTTCTCACCTTACTGGGGATTCCTGTAATTTAGTTAAAAAGCTACTTTGCTTATTAAGGTCAGAAACTTCCTTGCAGCTGGAAAATTTTCTCCTTATATCCAAAGTAATTTAGCTTTAATTCTATAAACCAGTATGCCATTCAATGCAACAACTGATTCACTTCTATCAAAGGCAGAAGCTGAAGCAATCCATAGCTGACTTCCACTGAATTTTCAAGGCTTCGCTCACATGGGAGGAGATGTCCCATCTTAGTCCCTTGCAGATGATGGTGGATTTGAACTACCAGAGTGCTGCCACCTTTAAGCTAGCAGTGCAGCTTCCCATGAACTACACCACTGGAACTTCCGACTTCAGCATTCAGGAAGGCTAACCTCTAGAAGAGACAATGTCCTTCGATTTTCCTTTCCATAAGCATTGTGTTTGTTATTAGGTGCCATCAAGTGGACTATGACTCATAGCAACTTGATAAATAATAGTAGGCACTATGAGCATTAGCTTTGTTGGTATGTGCCTTCGAGTCACCTGCAACTCATAGGGACGCTATGTACAAAAGCCCTAAACACTGCTTTGTCCTGTGCCAGTTTTACTGTCTTTGACACACCCACCCCCACTACTCCAGTCACTGAATCAATCCACCTCATAAAGGTTCTTCATTTCCTGCACTTACAGATTTTTTTTTCTTCTCCTTTTTAATACTCATTTTGAAAAGAGACCTCCTGGTCAGGGTAAAGGAAGGACAAACAAGGCTGTGGACACTGCCAAACTGGTACTCAGCTAAGGCCCAGACGGCTGCCAAGTCTATGTCACCTTTAGGTTTAAAAATAAAACTCGTCCTCAGCTCAGACTCACTGTCTTGAGTAAACAATTTGAGTTCCCTGTCTTGACTACAGGGGACCTTTGACAGCACCAGAATGGGCAGTTACCAGGACAAAGCACCTACTCCCATTTTTCCTAATTCCAGGGAACACTGGAGGGAAGTCTTTCATTTGCCTGTCACTGCAGCACAGCTCAGGAGGCACACACCTCATGTCTAGGTTTTCAGGTGGCACTGCATAGCTCCAAGGGTGTTTGATAAGGTTCTATGTTTAAGGGAGACTCCTCTAGCCCAGCCTACTTGTGCAGCTTTCTAACCAGTCTTTGATGGTCCTGTCTAAGTGACCGGCCCTCCTGAAAACAATAAATCTCCAGGATGGCGTAGAGAGAATGAGGCCCAGTTTAGCTTAAGTCATATCGAACATCTGGATTTTTGCTTCAAGAGATGAGGTGTGACTCAGTGAGTAAAATAAAAAAAAAAATTAGGACAGAAAATATTAACACTTACTGACCTAAGCAACATTTTACTCTTCTTTGTCAAATTTCTTTAGTATTTAGTTCATTGATATTTAATAAAATGTTGTAAGATACTGTCAACTTATAAAAACCAAAAGGTAAATGACTTTTGGAGACTCTGTAAGTTAAGAGCGGTTTGCAGCTGTGTTCCCCATTCCCACCCACTCAGAGGTGGGCCAGAGTCTGTCTGATAGGTAAGTGAATGTAAGTGTCGAGGTAGTCTACTTCCTCCACCAGCCACTCTGAGGCACCTCTGGCAAGTATGAGTTTACCTCAGGAGTATTAACAATGGGCCAGTTATTGAAGACATCATTTGGAAACCCACAGAATGTGATTTGGACCCCATCCAAAGGTCATTCCTACCCAGGGCTGAGCAGTGAGGTGATACTGACCTGGCCAGCTGTGTCACAGAGCTGGAGTCCCACAGGACGCCCATCCACAGACACGACAGCTTGGAAACAAGAACAAAATGAGAGTCACAAGGTGGCCTATGACCCCAGGCAGGAGACGTAAGACTTTTAACTTGTCCTGCTACAGAGCACCACACCCTTCAATTCCTATCATCCTTCAATGAATGAAAGACTTGCCTAAAACAAAGAAATCAGACCCAAGGCAATGGCTATGTACAAACCCTTGAGGGCTTCAGTCACTTCGCTGAAACAGATGAGGCTGCAAATTACTGAGCTCTTTGATGCCACCACCAGAAAGGCTCTTCCCTTTTCTTTCAACCCGAAGAGATTTATTTTCCTGTCACACTTGTTTCAAAGGTCCTGGAAACAACACCAGGGCTAAGTGGGAGCCAACCAGGCCTTTTTAAATTGGTGGAAAACCTCATAAATAATCTGTGTCCCTGGGAAATCTTACCCAGTCAGAGTTCACTGTAAAATCCTAGCTTGTTCCAAGAGCATGTGCCAACCAGGCGCCCTCATCACCCTGCTATGAACCAGGTTACTGCTTATCTCCCCAGGCCAGTTCAAAGAGAGAATCAAAGAAGAAAGAACACCAGGGGTGCTGTTATAGGATGCAGAGGGAGGAGACTTCATTAGGCAGGCCACGGAGGTTTCTATCTGAATTAAGCAATCAGTTTTGTCTCAGAATGGCCATTTAGATTGCTTAGAATAGACAGGGGGCATAATATCATCTATGGGAGAAACTCAGTGGCATAAGCCCACCCTCATCTAATCCGCTCTGACATATAATGACCTCATAGTTCCCCAGGCTGTAAATGGCATGCAAGCAGATCTTCATTCAGGTCTTTCCTTCTGTGGTTGAGTTGGAAGGCCTAACCTCTTGATGAGTAATCTAGTGCTTATGAAGGCACCACTAGGGCTACTGACTGTTGTTACTGTCAGGTGCCATCAAGTCTCCTCTGACTCATAGTGATCATAAGAACATCAAATGGGAACCACCCTCACTATCTCCTTCATGATCAACTCCATTGTTGCAGTCACTCTACTAACCCATCTTGTTGAGATTCTTCCTCTGATTCTCCACCTTTCTCAGCACGATGTCTTTTCCTAAAAATTGCTCCCTCTGACAAACTGCCCAAAGTATTTGAAAACAGGTTTCACCATCTTTTCCTCTAAGAGGTAACCCTAGTTGTACTTCCTCCCAGACAGACTTGGTTTTTTTTGTTCAGCAGTTCATAGGGTATTCAGTACTCTTCTCTAACATCACAATTCAGAGGCATCGATTCTGCTTCAGTCTACTTTATTGCCTGTCCAACCTTCAGATGCACAGAAGGCAACTGAAAGTACCATGCTTACTTCAGGTACTTAGTGTTGAAGTCTGTTGCACATTATTAGACCTCTAAAAAAACAAAGGATGCAAGTGATGTATGTATCACACTAGCCTCTGTGAATTTCATTTAAATTTAAAAAAGACTTGAAATATTAAAAATCATAAGTAAAAAATTATTCTTTAGCTTTGAACCTACCACACACAGCACACACAGTGTTACCCTCCATAGGTGGTGTAAGTTTTTAAGCTTCTTAAAGAGACCGTGAAAAGATTCTTGTGAGCCATGGAATCCATGCACATTCATGGTAACCTAGTAAAGACCTATGAAGTGTCCCACAGGTGCTCCCAGGCTGCAGAATGTGAGGAGAGCGTGAAGCACTTACTGCAAAAGATCTAAGACTATACAACTTACAATATGGGTTGTATTTCAATACCAAAAAACCAAAAATTCTTACCAACGGACCTATACGCAACATCATGATAGATGGAGAAAAGAATGAAGCTGTCAGTGATTTAATTTATTATTTTACTTGGATCCACAATCAACACCAATGGTAGCAGCACTCAAGAAGTAAAGAGAAGGGAGCTCTGGTGGCCTAGGGGCAAAAAGCTGTGCTGCAATCCCGAAGGCACATGGTTCGAATCCACCAAATTCCCCTCTGGAGAAGGAGGGGCAATCTCCTCCAGTGCGAGCAAGAAAAAAAGAGAAAAAGAAAGGAAAAAAAAAAGATGTGCTCAACTGGGAAAATCTGTTGTCAAAAACCTCTTTAAAGTGCTAAAGAACATGGCTGTCAGTATTTTCAACTGCTTCCTATATGCAAAGCATGACCTTAGAAGGATCAATACCTTTGAATGGTGATGTTGGAGAAAAGTACTGAATATCCATGGACTACCGAAAGAACAAACAAATCTATCTTGAAGGTGGTATTGACAGGATATTCCTCAATGGCAACGATGGTGAAACTTTATCTTATACACTTTGGGCATGTTGTCATGTGGCCAGTCCTTGGAAAAAGGCATCATGCTGGGCCAGGTAGAGGTCGGAGAAGGTCAGAAAGAGCCTCAACAAGATGGACTGACACAGTGACTATAGTAATCAATAGGTGAGAAAGCATAGGAAATGATGAGGATATCACAGGTTGGGGCAGGTTTCAGATCTGTTGTTCATAGGGTCGTTATGAGTGGTAGCTGGCCAAATAGCACACAACAACAAAAATATTTAAGGGAGATCTTGGGGTCTTTTTTTCAGGGTGAGGCAGATATCCCCCCACCTCCTTAGCAGTCTAGTGTTTAACCATCATGATGCCTTCCTCCCATTCCCTGAGTTCAGGAAATTCAGTGAACCCTGAACTTGATCCATTACCCAGCTAGAGCTGATCATGGTGCCATGCCAACCCCTCTGGAAATCCTCCAATATCTTACATTCTTCTCCAGTCCCTTCTTTTCAAAACCCTCGTTGGCACCACTATCCAAAACAGCTGCTAATGTGAATAGTGTACTGGTAGACTACAGTACTGCCAGCCCAGCCTCCTTCTCCTGCCCCAGCCAGCCAGCTCACCAGAGAAGTTGTCGAAGGCGGTAGGGATGTACTCGGTGGGGTATCCATTGGTGGTATAGCTCACTACCAGGCTGGTCTTCCCTACAGCACCATCTCCGACCAGAACGCACTTGATGCTGCGTCTCTCTGCCCCGCCGGCTCTACTGCGCGAGGCCAAGGCTGCGCTCCGGCCGCTGCGCACGCGGCGCGGGGGAACGGGTGGCACCTCACAGCCGCAGCAGCCCGCCACAGGCTTGCTGATGTACTCGGGGTTCCCTTGCTGCGGCGGCATCTGGCTCCAGGTCTCAAATGTGGGAGTGAAATGGTCGAGAGGAAGCAGCGGATGAGAGAGGGGGAGTAGGAGAAACCCAGGGTCTCCGCGTGCTAGCAGCTCCGTCCTTTCACCGCGATGGCCACTAAGGGCCCGCGGCGTCCTGGGAGCCGGCTAGTGTCCTCGCCGCCAGTACTGGGGAGAGAGGGAAGCAGGGGCAGTATGGTCAGCAGCTCCTTGTCTTCCTTCTCTGTGAGCGGGCGTGCTGGCGAGTAGAGGGCATCAACCAGCAATTCAGGGGCGCACCCACGGCCACTCTCCCCTCCTCCTGAAGACTCGTGTCCACCAAGACCAGGATCACAGAGGCGGCGATCTGTCATGGGCCGTGGGCTGTGGCCCTTAGAATTGTCAGCAACCAGCGAGTCCAGACGCGGCGGCTCTAAGACAAAGGCGGTCTGGGGAGGGTCGCGCAGCGCACGCTCGGGCGGCAGCACCCGGCTTCTCCCGCAGTGTGCAGAGCACTGAAGCCGCTGACCCAACCGAGCACCGCCCTCTGGCCGGCTCGGCGGTGACACGACGCGTGGGGTGCGGCGGGGAGGGAAGAAAGAGGAGGCCAGCGGGGCGGTGGGGCTCCTTCGTGCGCCAGGCCACAGCGCTCTCTGCCTGCGCGTCGCGCACCTGCAGCTCGGCCGCCTGCTCAGACCCGTGCGCACGCCCTGCTGGCGACTCCCAAAGGCGCGGCCGGCGCGGGCGGCTCCAGGTCCGAGCCGGCCCAGCCCGAGCCTTGCCCGGCCAAGCGCAGCCGATTGGCTGGCCACTCTCCGCCTCCACGCGGCCTCAGTCCGAGGCACCGCCTTTTCTTTTCCCCTCCCTTTTTTATTCCCTTCTCTAGGGGTTGACCCAGTCCGCTTCTTCCTCACCCAACCCTCTTCTCTCACTGGTCAGTTGCTTTCCACCCAAAGGAGGTCTTTAGGATTGATTGGTCTTATCAATTCATACACCAATTTTTACATTTTTTTTCTTTTTGTTTATTTTCAATCTAGCTTCAGGTGCATGGCAGCAGCAGCAGCCAAAAAAATCAAAAGACATGAAGTACTGGGGAACTCAAAACCGATGACTTCTCCAAAGTGCTAAAAAAGCGAAGATATCAGTTTAAAGATTAAGGTATGCTTGATCCGAGGTGAAAAATGGTGAAATTCTATCTAACATATTCTGGACATGTTGTTAGAAGGGACCAGTCCTTGGAAAGACAGCAAGGTCAGAGAAAGACAAGAAGGTACTCAGTGAAGCAGCTTCAACAAGTGACCGTAACAGTAGACTGGAACATGACAGAGATGGTGAGAACAGCACAGTCCAGGGCAAGGTCCAGCTCTGCTCTTCACAGGGTTGAGATGATCTGTAGTTGATAGCATCTAACAACTGCAGGCCATCAGTGTGAATTTTCTTCTTCTAATGTATTCTCATAACCTTGTGGGCCCAAAGGATGCCAACATGCGGATTTATCTTTCTCCTTGGCATGCCATAAATCTTTATACTTTTATGGCCCACTACATTTCTTTATCTCTTCAATTTCTTCTTTTCATCAAACATCATCTGTAGATGTTACTATTCCCAGAAAACAACACTCTGTGTATCTTTGTCTCCTCTCTCTTTCCTTTCACAAAATAAATGTATCCTACATTTTTTAGGGGGTTTACATGAGATAGAATTGATCTGAATCCTTCTTGTGAAAGAACAAACTATAACAGTATCACAGATAAAAAATTCTGTGTGAATTATCTTTTAGTTGTTCCTGTAGAAGAAAAAAATCCTAGTGATCAAAGAATATGAAGCTTAAAATGTAGAAAAAATAGTAGTATAAATGTGGATGGGGAGTATAATTAATTGAAATGTTTCCTTATGAACTTTTTTGACGTTTATGATGATTCTTCAAACTAAAAACTTAATTTATTGACTTGGGATTGGAACCATCACACAGCTGACCCTCCAGCATATTTCCAGAGGCTTCAAATTACTCGGGAAGAGATTACCCATCATTCTCTGGAAGAATTTCTCAGTCTTGCAAAATATGTCTTTTTTTTATGTTGCATTTCTCACTTGAAATAGATATTCCTTCTTGTGTCACTTTTTCTTCATAATTTTCAAGTTTATTTCTTAAAGATGTTCTTTAGGCTTCATTCCGTAAGCTTCAATTCTTTCAGAACTTTGTCACAGTGTTGCTATTTCCTTTTAATACCTTCTTTTTATGTGGAATATCGTCTCATTCCTCCACTCAAAAATCTTGACCCATTTGTCCAGACTCACTCAGTTCCCTGCAGACATACCTAAAACTTTTTTGTCTCCTGAAAGCACTTGGGTGGCGTTAACTGCTAAGCCTTGGGTTAATGTTTTAATTCAAACACTGGCATTCTGTCCACGTAGAGGCTACTTGGAAACACCCTGGTCTGGCAAGTTGCTCCTCAAAGGTCACAGCCATGGAAGCCCTAGTAGACACACATGAGGTTGCCCTGAGTCTATGCTGGCATCAAACAGCAACAATTCTCCCCGTATCCCTAGGAACCTTTGCATAGGAAACTTTGAGCTTACAGCACAGCAATCACTAAGCCACCAGAGCTCCTAATAGACAACCAGGAAACCAGATTGCGTATCCAATTTAAGTGCAAACGTAAAGAGATGTTTAGGCAGGGATAGCCACTAATCAAGTGTAAAAAGAAACAGGCAGCTGGAGGGCAGACGACTCTGACCTCTTCTAACTCTATAAGAGAGAGCTGTCTTCATCAGCAACACTCACAGAAAAAACCATTTCCTGCCAGGCCAAACATACCCCCACATTCCCTGAACTTGTCCTTCCCGGAGCTCTTATTAACTATGTGAAGGTTCACCAACCCACTGCAACGGCCACACAGAACCAGACTTAGGTTTAAGGGGTTTATTAGGCAAGTTAACAGGTTACGAATTCAGGTTGGAAACAGGATGCAATTCTTCAGTTATGACAGCTTCTCAAATGTGCTTGCAGGCCATTTAACCTTCAGCTTCACAGTTTCAGGTCAATGTTCAAAACTCTCTTAGTCCTGCTAATTATGGCACTTTCCCCCCAATTTCTGGTAAGCTTGGGCAAACCCCCCAGCTCTGGCTCCATGGAGTAGCAGTACCGTATCAGCTGTGTTCCACAATGCTCTCTGGTTCTCCTGCAGTCCCTGGTTTGTCTGGCACAGGGATTTCTGGCTTGAAACACACTACATTCTCCATCTTGCTAGTAAGGAGGTTCCCATCTTTGCCACTAAAACGGCTCCATTTACACCTGGTGAGAGGGCAAAACTAACCAACCACATAATAACAGTCTTTACACAATATTTGCCTGTTCCCCCTCAGCCATGTGACAAAAGTCAAAGGCAATGGCCCAGAAAGCTATTCAGAACCATTATTCTACACCAAGACAGAGAAGAATTCTCACTAGAGACAAGCCACTGAAGTTCACGCCCACAGATCATAGTATTTCTAAATAAACTTCATTGTTCGTTGGTTTATTTGTAATCTCGTACCAGTCCATGAGAGAGGGACTTTATTTCACACATTTTCTCATTTCTGAGATTAAGTATCCCAGAACTTGTAGTAGAGTGGAACAAATAGTATATCCTTAACAAGTATTTGTTGAAGGATGTGATGACATTATCACTAATTTGACAATTATTTAAAAAAAATTGGGGGAATGAAAAAAATGGTGCTAGTGAGGATGTAGAGAAATGGGAATTTTAACTTACTGCTGTAGAATTATAAAATGGTACAGCCACCGTAGAAAACAGTCTGGCAGTTCCTCAAAACATTAAATGTAGAATAATCATATGATCTAGCAATTTCACTTCCAGGTAAATGCTCAAACGAATTGAGAGCAGGAACATAGCTGAGTGCTATTCTGAGTTATCTAGTGCTGCTGTTGCACAAATATCACAAATGGACGGCTTTAACAAAAAGGAAGCTATTTTCCTGCAGTTAGCACTCTGTGTGTCTTTCTCACTGCCACTGAGTCTATTGTGACTCATGTTGTGTTGTTGTTGGGTACCATCCAGTTGGAACTTGACCCATAGCTGACCCTCTGCTGAGTTTTCAAAGGAAGCTCATTGCATGGGAGGAGATTGCCCATCCATCTCCCATGGAGCAGTTGGTGGATTCAAACTGCATGACTTTGGGATTGCAACACAGCTTTGTCACCACTGGGCCACCAGGGTCCATAGAGAAGCATTCATCCAAAAACCTTGCATCTCTGGCAGTTCAAATCCATAGACAATGATACATATTCTTCTCCTGTTTTGATTTACAGCCACAGAAACCTGGTGGAGAATTTCTGAGTCAGAAATGGCTCAATGGCAATGAATGTGAGTTTGATTTACATAAACTCTCTAGAACATGCAAGTGTGTACAGACCTCGTTCACTGGCAATTGATAATGAGGGCAAGTAGAAAGGAGGATGGACAAAAGATTCATGACTTCAAGGACAATGAACATCTGGGTGGTGATGGTTGGATACATCCTCAGTGGTGATTTGTTTACATATATCCTTATAACAATAAGAAAGTATGAACAGAATAAATGGAACAGCAATGGTGTGAATCAGAGTTATCTAGCATGCTGTAACAGAAATATCACAAATGGACCATTTTAACAAAAAGAAAAGTTATTCTCTTCCAGTAGAGCACTCTGTGTGTCTCACTGGCATTGTGTCTATTCCAACTCCTATAGTGACCCTCAATTGGGTCTTTCCTCTTTCATCCTATTATCAGATATTTTAGAATATATGAATCAAATCTGTCTACTTTGCAGGAATTTGTATGCAATCTTTTGTAGGGGAGGTGGGCTCCCTTTTGAGATGAATATATATTATGTTGCACATATTCCTGTTTTAATCCATCAGTATAGCATAATTTTTTTTGTTGTTGATCTTGGGTCTAATACTTTTGGATAACACTGGACTATTAGTTGCACACAGAATTTACATCGCTTCATCATCTAGTCTCTGTGTTTTC